ATGAAAATATAATAACAGACGTATTCGATCCAAACTTTTTCATTCAAAAAGAAATAGCGAAGCTGAAGAAACTGGGTTTCCAATTGAGTAGTTATTCTATTGGTGAAGATAAAAGGGATTAGAATAGTCAAAAGATATGTTTCAAAGTGAACGAATCGATACTATATACGTTTTATGACTTTATGAATAAAAAGCTGATATCACGGGTTAGCGACCCCATACCGTAGAAACCTAAGTCGTTAAAAAAACGCTAACCAGAAAAAAATTATTCAAACCATTTAAACTCTGCCCTGGGAATCAGGATGTCTTCGTTAAGAAGAGTTATAACGCCTCATGATGAAAGCCGAGTTTCTTCGGAAGTCACGAGGCCGATGCCCCTTCTGACAACCAGAGCAACCATTTATTTAGGTACATGGAATGCTCGCACAATGTAGGAGACTGGGAGAGTTTTCCAAATTGCTGCAGAAATGAGGAGATACAATTTAGAGGTGCTTGGGATCAGTGAAACACATTGGACACAAGTTGGACAACAACGACTAGCTTCAGGGAAGGTGCTGTTATACTTCGGACATGAAGAAGAAAATGCCCCACATACACAAGGAGTAGCATTGATGCTGTCCAAACAAGCACAAAATGCACTTATAGGATGGGAATCTCATGGACCAAGGATCATCAAAGCCTCCTTCAAAACGAAGAAAGAGGGCATTACAATGAATGTCATCCAATACTATGCGTCTACCAACGACTACAATGAAGACGTTAAAGATCAGTTCCACGATAGGCTGCAGTCAATCGTCGAGAAGTGCCCAACATAGGACCTGACCATTCTGATGGGAGATTTAAATGCCAAGGCTGGAATTGACAACACCGGATATGAAGAGATCATGGGACGACACGGATTGGGAGAAAGAAACGAAAATGGTAAGAGATTTGCAAATCTATGTGCCTTCAATAAACTGGTCATAGGCGGGACTATATTCCCACATAAACGCATACACAAAACCACATGGACTTCACCGGATCACACCACACAGAACCAAATCGACCATATCTGCATCAACAAAAAGTTCAGGCGGACGATGGAGGACGTGAGAACCAAGAGAGGAGCTGATATAGCATCAGATCATCACTTGCTGATCGCCAAGATGAAATTGAGACTCAAGAAGCACTGAACAACGGGGAGGACAACATCACAAAATTTTATTACAGCCCTTCTTCGGGACACTGACAAACTCAACAAATTCAAGATAGCCCTCAGCAATAAGTTCCAGGCCTTTCATGTCATGAAGTCCTGGGCCAAAAGAAGCACCATCACAAGGAATGGATCACGGTCGATACACTGGATAAGATTCAAGAAAGGAGGAACAAGATGGCAGCAATCAATACCAGTCGAACAAGAGCAGAAAAAGCCAAGGCACAAGCTGAATACACAAAAGTAAATAAGCAAGTAAATAGTAGCTTCAGAGCTGACAAACGTAAATATGTGGAAGATTTAGCAATGACGGAGGAAAAGGCCGTGAGAGAAGTAAACATGAGACAACTGTATGACACAACAAAGTAACTCACAGGAAATCAGCGTAAACCCGAACGACAAGGGAATAGCAAGGAGGGCAAGATAATCACCAACATTGAAGAACAACGAAACAGGTGGGTAGAACACTTTGAGGAACTTTTGGGTCGACCGGCCCCACTGAACCCACCCAACATCGAAGCAGCATTCACGGACCTCTCAATCGATGTTGGTCCACCAACAATTGAAAAGATCATCATGGCCATCAAACAAATCATGAATGGCAGAACAGCGGGACCAGACAACATTTCAGCGGAGGCATTGGAAACAGATATAGCAATAACTCCAAAGATACTCCACATTCCATTCAATAAGATTTGGGATGAGGAACAAGTGCCAACAGACTGGAAAGAAGGACTTCTGGTCAAACTACCAAAGAAAGGCGATCTCAGAAACTGTGACAACTACAGAGGAATCACTCCTCTCAATACCAGGGAAAGTCTTCAACAGAGTATTGTTAAACGGGATGAAGGACTCTGTAGACGCCCAACTTCGCGACCAACAGACAGGATTCCGTAAGGATAGATCGTGCACAGACCAAATCGCAACTCTACGGATCATTGTGGAACAATCAATTGAATGGAATTCATCACTCTATATCAACTTCATTGATTACAAAAAAGCATTTGATAGCGTGGACAGAAAAACACTATGGAAGTTTCTTCGACACTACGGCGTGCCTGAGAAGATAGTCAATATCATACAGAATTCTTGTGATGGATTAAACTGCAAGATCGTTCATGGAGGACAGTTGACAAAGTCGTTCGAAGTAAAGACCGGTGTCAGGCAAGGTTGCTTACTCTCACCCTTTCTCTTTCTCCTGGTGATCGACTGGATCATGAAGACATCAACATCTGAAGGGAAGCACGGGATACAGTGGATAGCTAGGATGCAGTTGGATGATCTAGACTCCGCAGATGATCTGGCTCTTCTATCGCAAACACCACAACAAATGCAGGAGAAGACAACCAGTGTAGCTGCAGCCTCAGCAGCAATAGGTCTCAATATACACAAAGGGAAAAGCAAGATTCTTCGATACAACACAACATGTACCAATCCAATCACAATTGACGGAGAAGCTTTGGAAGATGTAAAAACCTTTACATATTTGGGTAGTATCATCGATGAACAGGGTGGATCTGATGCAGATGTGAAGGTGAGGATCGGGAATGCAAGAGCAGCATATCTAGAACATCTAGAACTCAAAACAACTGCCAGCCAACACCAAGGTCAGAATTTCCAATACAAATGTCAAGACAGTTCTACTGTATGGGATGGAAACCTGGAGAACTACGAAATCCATCGTCCAAAAGATACAGGTGTTTATTAACAGTTGTCTACGCAAAATACTTCAGATCCGTTGGCCAGACACTATCAGCGACAATCTACTTTGAGAGAGAACAAATCAGATCCAAGTGGAGGAAGAAATCAGGAAGTGGATAGGACACACAATGAGGAAAGTAAGCGTCACAAGGCAAGCCCTCACTTAGAATCCTCAAGGGCAAAGGAGAAGAGGAAGACCAAAGAACAAATTACGCCGAGAAATAAAGACAGACATGAGACAAACGAACAAGAATTGGATGGAACTAGAAAAGAAGGCCCAGGACAGAGTGGGTTGGAGAATGCTGGTTGGTGGCCTATGCTCCATTAGGAGTAACAGGCGTAAGTAAGTAAGTAAGTAAGAATTGTCAAACAATCCTTTTGATGGCCTCTGTATATATTGATGTTTATCATATGAAAATCTCATCCAAGAATATGTTACAAAACATGTTAGTTGATGGTACAAAATCAGGATTCTTCATTTTACATCAGAGAGGAAAATTGAACTTGTCTGATCATGAGTAAGCTGAAGAGAATAAATAAACAACTGTTGTTATGCCAATCAGAAAGGTTACTACTATTAGTGGAATCTAGGACGTTGAACCATCAGAACTGCTGATATTTGTTTCTTCGTACTGAAGTTAAAATTTTTGGAGTTCGCTCATCATATTTAATTGATCCATCTGGGTTTAGTCCTGTTGATCAATTCATATATATGTCGCGGTTGAAGAAAAGGATGTTAATTTGATCCGCTTATCATTTTATTTATCTACTCTGAAGAAGTGGTTTACACAAAGTCCCAAAACACGAGAAATACGATTTTCTACTCATTAAGATATCACCAATATATCGTTGTTTTATTATTTCAAGGGAATTATTTATCCTCAGCTTAGACGTCACTAACTTTAACCCTTTATCTGTTTCTTTCTGTGACGAGATGATAAACTTTATATATCAGGTTATTAGCAACTGTCTTAATTGTTTATCAAATATGTATTAGCTTACTTTTCTAGATATTTTCCACAATGTGTCGACATTCCAAATATAACGATTTTTCTAGAATTACTCCGTTTCTTTAAATTACATCGTAAACTGCCTTCATGTGATCAATAGAGTTGACCACCTTGGTGAAGTTGATGCCATCTGACATACCGTTAACATGTTCATCTTACTTATCTGACTTCGTCAGAAAATGATCATTTTAGTCGTCAGTTTATAAGCCATTAAGTTTCTTGAAATATAAATTATGATTTTACTTTCTCGCCTTTTCCCTAAACTTCACTCAGATCGTGCACGTTCTTCTGTATTTTGAATTGGATTATGTATGATGTAATCTATTTCTAGAATCCTGTCTCCACCTTTTTATTATATTCGTTTTTATAAACACTCCTAGTTAAACTGTAGGCAAAAGCTGTATGGATAATATTTTTAATTCTTTCAAAATAACTATCTTCTTACTAGTATACATCTACATCAATCACAACCTTAAAATAGACGTCTGTTATATAAAATTTGGGTACTTAACTTTTTCATAGAATTAATATAATGGAGGAAATATCTTCTAAACGTACTAGATGAATAAGAATTTCTGTCAAGATGTATACAATTTGTTATCTACTGTTATAACCAACATACCAATCTTTATAACTTCATGTGGATTGAAATAATGAGGAATAAATTGATTTTAATTGGTTAATCAGACAATTTTATACTAAAGGATCTTGTGGGTCCCAGCAGTTTGATATTTATGTTTTTTAAATTGATGATTGTTTTATGGGGTTCACACGTCATTACTTACGAAACGCACAAATCCAAAGTCAATAAAAAACCTGAAAAAGGTGTTTCAATTATAAATGAGTTTTGATTCTCCCTACCATTTACCTATTTATAGATATGAGGTATATCAATATAAAGTGACAAGTAACATAAATGATTCAAATACAATCATACCGAAGTCAATTATCAAGCATCAAAATTTCTACTGTTATTCGTGCTTTAAAATTATTGACACAAGTTTGGTAAAGTATAAAGGTAAAGTTTGTCGTCCCTTATTAGAGTCTTTTAAATACCACAGAAAATGAAATCAATCATTATGATATTTTAAACTTACTTTCTTAGTTGAATTATTTTCTGTTAACAAGTAATCCACAGAACATGGTTCCGTCTGTGGTTTACTACTAGTATATATATAAATACTATAACGTGCTGTCGTAGATGGCAGAATACTCAGTTGAAGATTAAAGAATTGTAACTTTTCAGCTTGATTCACGATTGAGGTATCCTTTAATGTCAATAAATTATTCGCAACCTATTCGTTAAAAAGGTTAGCATGGTTTGTACTGACAACTTACCAAATTAGGACCTGCAAATGCTATGAGTTGGCTCTCACAAAAATTCACTGTAGAATTCTTACCTAGTGGTGAGATTTTTGCTTCAAACATAACGGATACCAAACTTGTTTTATATATCTGGATAAAAACTCTTAGACGAACTGATCGATTCGTCATCGGCAAGGTTGTGTCATAAACACCTAAAATATATTTTAAATTAAATGTGAATATTTACATATGAATATTAAATAAGAATTGCTCGTCCCAATAACTCGGCAAAGAAATATCTAAAGTAATATGAAAACAAGACCATTTTGTGAAAGAATGCCTGTCAACGAGATTTATCAGAGTAAATCTCAAAAGTTCGGGAATGAAATATAAAGAAAAACAAAAGTTTCGTTTTTTCGTTTTTTTAACACGACCGTGAGATCTTTATGAAAAATTGAGCTTGATGGAAGCTAAAAGATAGCCAACTAAGCGTAATTTTATGCTTTATGGTTGTAAGAGCTCTAGTGGTGAGTAATGGTAGCAAACTTTGGTAAATTAAAGTCGTAATCTCCCAGTCTGACTGAGTTTAACAGTATCAAATAAGAAGCAATTACATGCCAAGAACACTGGAAGATACTTACTTACTTACTTACTTACTTTCGTCTGTTACTCCTCGTGAAGGAGCTTAGGCCACTCACAAGCATTTTCCATTCAACCCTGTCCCAAGCAATCCTTTCCAGCTCTTTCCAGTTGTTATTCATCCCTTTCATATCCGCTTCTATTTCCCGACGTAATGTGTTCATTGGCTTTCCTCTTTTCCTCTTCCCTTCAGGATTCCAAGTTAGCGCTTGTCTCGTAATGCAGTTTGATGATTTGCGTAATGTATGTACTATCCATTTCCATCGTCTTTTCCTAATTTCCTCTTCAGCTGGAAGCTGGTTGGTTCTCTCCCACAAAAGGCTGTTGCTGATGGTATCCGGCCAATCAATGTTGAGTATCTTGCGTAGACAGCTATTGATAAATACTTGTACCTTCTTGATGATGGTTGTTGTAGTTCTCCAAGTTTCAGCTCCGTGCAGTAGAACTGCCTTGACGTTCGTATTGAAGATTCTGAATTTGATATTGGTTGAAAGTTGTTTTGAGTTCCGTACGTTCTTCAATTGAAGGAATGCTGTCCTTGCTTTGCCGATCCTAGCCTTTACGTCTGCATCTGAACCTCCTTGTTTATTGACGATGCTTCCCAGGTATGTGAAGGATTCCACATCTTCCAGAGTTTTGCCATCAAGAGTGATTGGACTGCTGTTCTCCGTGTTGTGTTTGAGGACCTTGGTTTTCCCTTTGTGTATGTTGAGGCCTACTGATGCAGAGACTGCTGCTACTCTGGCTGTCTTTATCTGCATTTGTTCGTGTGTATGCGATAGGAGGGCTAGGTCATCTGCGAAGTCCAAATCGTCTAACTGGTTCTGAGCTGTCCATTGTATGCCGTGTTTTCCCTCAGTTGTCGAGGTTTTCATAATCCAGTCGACCACCAGAAGAAAGAGGAAGGGAGAGAGTAGACAACCTTGTCTTACTCCGGTCATCACTTGGAATGCATCTGTCAGCTGTCCTCCATGCACTACTTTGCACTGTAGTCCATCGTATGAGTTCCCGATAATGTTGACAATCTTCTCAGGAACTCCATAGTGTCGAAGAAGTTTCCATAACGTCTTCCTATCTACACTGTCAAATGCCTTTTCATAATCAATAAAGTTGATGTACAATGACGAGTTCCATTCGATTGATTGTTCGACGATGATCTGTAGTGTCGCAATCTGGTCTGTGCACGACCGGTCCTTACGGAATCCAGCTTGTTGATCTCGAAGTTGAGCGTCTACTGCGTCTTTCATTCTGTTCAGTAACACTCTGTTAAAGACTTTTCCTGGTATTAACAGTAGTGTAATGCCTCTGTAGTTTTCACACTTGCTCAAGTCTCTTTTCTTTGGAATCTTGACGAGGTGTCCTTCCTTCCAGTCCATCGGCACTTGTTCCTCCTCCCAAATCTTCTTGAATAGAAGATGAAGCATGTTTGTGGTATTTCGATGTCTGACTTCAGTGCTTCAGCTGGTATATTGTCAGGTCCTGCTGCTTTCCCGCTCTTGATTTGTCTGATGGCCATTCTGATTTCTTCGGTCGTTGGTGGATTGACATCTATAGGAAGATCTGTGTGTGCTGCTTAGATGTCCGGTGGATTCATTGGAGCCGGCCTGTTCAGGAGTTCCTCGAAGTACTCTGCCCATCTGTTCCGCTGTTGTTGAATCTCAGACCATGTTTGGTCTTCCTTCTTTGTCTTTGACTGGTCTCTCTGGTTTACTGTATTTCCCTGCTAGCTTCTTCGTCGTATCGTAAAGCTGTCTCATATTTCCTTCTCTTGCAGCTTTTTCCGCCGTCGTTGCTAGTTCTTCCACGTATTTTTGCTTGTCAGCTCTAATGCTCTTCTTCACTTGCTTGTTTGCTTCTATGTACTCAGCTTGTGCTTGGACTTTCTCTGCTCTTGTTCGACTGTTGTTAATTGCTGTCTTCTTGTTCTTCCTTTCTTTGATCCTGTTCAGTGTTTCTATAGAGTTCCATTCCTTGTGATGATGCTTCTTGGGGCTCGGAACCTCTTGACACGTTGAAGTTAACGCTTCTTTGATACCTTTCCAGTTATCCTCCATAGTAGTTTCTTCTTCCTTCAGTAGATCCTGTAGGGCTTGGAACCTGTTGTTGAGAGCTATCTTGAATTCATTGAGTTTGTCAGTATCTCGAAGGAAGGCTATATTGAACCTTTGTAGTGCTGTTTGTCCAGTTGTCCAGTTCTTCTTTAGCTTCAGTTTTAAATTGGCCACAACCAGGTGGTGATCTGAAGATATGTCTGCTCCTCTCCTAGTTCTCACATCTTCCATTGTCCTTCGGAACTTTTTATTGATGCGAATATGATCTATCTGGTTCTCTGTGGAGTGGTCCGGTGAGATCCATGTAGCTTTGTGTATACGTTTGTGTGGAAATATTGTGCCGCCTATGACCGATTTGTTGAATGCACACAGATTTACAAATCTTTCCCCGTTTTCGTTTCTCTCTCCCAGTCCATGCAGTCCCATGATATCTTAATATCCGGTGTTGTCTATTCCGACTTTGGCGTTTAGATCTCCCATCAGAATGGTGAGGTCTTTTCTTGAGCACTTCTCTATGATTGATTGCAGCCGGCAGTAACTCTAGGAGAGCTACAGGCGGAGTTAACACTGGAAGATGGCTGCCAGATATTAAGAATTGATTGGAGGTTAGCATGTGTGCCATTGGATGTATGCTGAGTGGTATAGAGGTTAAGCGTTTGAGCGGCACACCGAGGTTCTTGGTTTCTATTCAAAACAGTGAGATGGTGAATGCGCAGTGGTGAGACGTGTCATTTAAGAAAACAACGCAACTCTGCAGTGTTTCTTAGCTTTCAATAATTGTTCAATGAAGATCAGTCTGTGGTTCGGAAATTCAGATATCTCCATGATACCCCTACAGTAGTTAAGAAAAATCTCAAACTTGGTTTCCTAGGAAAGTCGAATCCTGACCGTTTCAATCTTGGTATTCCTCTTTAACAAACTAAATACTAAATCAAAATCACAGTTTCCTCTATTCCTTTGCTTTTATTATTCAGTTTATACTACTTTAATTAATAGCGACAAATAAACTATTATAACCGTGACTTATTAAAGCTCTATATTTATCTTTTCATAAAATACTCAGGACATTCCACACTAAATTGAGAGAAGACCTCGCGTTTACTGTTCTAGTATCAAGATGAAAGAAATCCTGTTTTTTTGATTCGCCGAACAAAAACTATTTATTTTTCGTTTCTAAGTTATTACACTGAAAGTTGCGCCAGCATCTACGTGAATAACAGCAACACCAAGCCTAACATTTTTTCGTCTGTGGACATTGAGTGGGTAGTAAAAGCATACTTAATAGATGACCTTAAAAAACTGCACCGAATTTCCAGCCAATTCAAAACTAATCAGAAAGCAGCTTTTAAAAATGAGTAGTTTATGAAAAAAAACGATGAGATTACAGTGTGAATGGATTCTAGATAATTAATGAATATATTATTGTCTTCTACCTGTTGTTCCGCCTGTGAGTTGAAGAAACAAAGAGATATTACTTCAACCGTGCTGTTAGAGGTTATCCATCTTCGCTAATCTTTAAAATGATCTAAAACGAGTTCTCACACTATTTTTCGCTAGGGATAGATATTTAGGGTAATGGTTAGGGCTTTGAAGTTTTATTCACGAAATAACAACTTGAAACTTCTCTGTTGTCGTATGTGTGAGGGGATTTCAGTCAGAAATATTAGAGTAGATATTTGATCATTTCATTCATAAAATGTAGTTCCACTAGGTATAGGTATGTTTGAGGATTAGAGATTTGAATTTAGGATATATGGATAGTGCCAATTTGCCTGTTAAATACAATCAAAGGAGACAGAAGTACAATGGCGATACACTTAGCACTTGCAATTTTATTCTTTGACTACAAAAATTCATTTTTTGCAGTACACAAAAGTATTTTCACTGCCCGTCATACATGGTATTTGAATTTCGTGCTGAAATTCAATTCTGATTGACTTGCCCTTAAAGTATGTTTTGCTGAAACCATCACCGTAATTACTTTTTGAATGGAGTATTCTACATTACTCTTTCCATTTTCTGATTGATTTCCATCGCTTCTAGTTAGCTAAATTTCTATAGTCTTAAAGGTCATCTTTTTGTTCTTATATTACACAGTTAAGTGAAATCATAACGTTGAGTGACGTGTACTAGTGCATACTGTGAATATATTAATTAATTTTTGTTCAGGAAATAAGTTGGACAAGAGATATTTGATTTCAGTAGACAGCTTGATGATAAGTGAAATGTACAAAGTTTAAAAAATGACAACTAAATAAAAAGTATCTTCGATGATCCAAACATGTTGGTAACTATTTGATAGTGGTTAAATTCGACTATTGATCACAACCCGGTCAAACCATACTACTTTGTTCTTTTAAATTTTACCATGACAATAGATGATAGCTATAAACTAGAGAAACCAGATGTCAGGAGTCTCGCAGTATGAATAAATCTGTAGTGATTCCATGATAAGCAGCGAAGAAGTACTATCGTGTGTTTTTAGGCAGAATGATGACAACACATTTTAGAAGTTCTCCCAATAGAAGTTTAGAAGTTTTAAGACAAATCTATTAACAAATCTGTTACAAAATAAAGTAGTGTTACAAGTAGCAGGATTATTCAGAATTTAAATGAAATCACACAAAAGTAAATATATCTGATAATGAAATGTATAACAAACTGCCAGCAGATATCCTTTGATCAGAAGCATTTGCCCTTCATTTGTAAATTGATATAGCGTGTAGGTATGAAGCTCAATTAACAGGTCTCGATTTTATTGAGAGGCCTGTGGAATCCGTATCATTCAGGAGCTCATATTTGAAATGACTTCTACTCATGCTCATTTTTGTGGTCCATATTTTTATATGTAAACATGTAACTTTGCGAAAAACAAATCCCATTCTTCTTTCCATTAGTAATGTCTTCACTTGGAGATTTGTGTCAATAATCTGATCTCGTATTCAGCAAACACAGGGACTAAAGTAACAATACGTTTATCTATCGATTTTTTTTACAGTTCTAAAACCGAGCATTGTTCACGAGATGATTACCAGTAAATATATCTTGAAATCAATGAGTTTTCGGAATACGACTTCTGGAAACAAATGTTTATGTCCAACTTGAATAACAATGTATTCAGCCCCCACCATCATCTTCATTCCCACTAATCACTCCATCTTTATGTATATTCGATTGTTCACAACATCTCTTGTCATTTCAGTTCAGTAATAAATGTCTTTAGTACGTAGAATCTGTCATACCATTACACTACAAGTGTCATGTTTAATAGCTTTTTGAAGTAAAACAGACGAACACTTTCCAAATTTTCACTGGGCAAGACAGTAGAATAAACACTGAGCTCAGTCAAATTCATCATCAACAGTTGAAAATGTTTTATTCACTGATTTGTCTGTGCACAAATTTTGTCACCAAATATATGTGGTTGTTAAAAATTGATTAGTAACATCAATTTGACGTGGCCGTCAAACTGACCGGTAAAGAAAGTGATTCATCCGACAAATATAAACTGAGAAATAACTATCAAAATATTCAGGTTATTTCCCAATGATTATTAATGGAAGATATCTATAATGCATAATACCGAAATGCATATAGCAGAATCAGTACCTAAAATCAGATCATCCACTGCCTTAATAACATGCAATGTGAAAATTCGGTTTATGTGTAAATAAGTATCAGAAAGTGGAAAGGCGCTTGTTATTGTTCCGAGAAGTGCACACTTAATTTCATAAACATACATACAGGAAAAGATGTAATCTTTCGTAAATACAAATATTTATGAGTACCACGTTTTGAGCATCGTGGTTAGTTGTGAAACATCACGAACTTAGTGTTATAAGACACAGCTAGACTAAACGAAACTGTTAATATATGATGCAGTTAACAATATACATGGTTTATACTAAATCAGAGTGTTTAACGTTAGAAATAATTGTACAGTGAACTTACCTGGATTTTGTAGATTTGAAACGCTAACGTAGCCAATCGTAGTCAGTACGAAGTTATCACCAACGAATTGTTTCGTATCTATTTTGTAACCTTCTGGGTATGTAGAGAATGTTTTAGGTAGCGTCAAAGACATATGTCCAATCGAAGCACTAAATTCATCAGTAGTGAATGTGAACTATCAAACAATTTATCAGGAAACAACAGTAAATAATTTTCTGTACGTGGCTTTAAGGAAATAGATGTGTTCAGTTTTGTATTGCGTGAACATACAAAAGTAAAGTGTTTATATTCAGATATATCTACTCAATGTCCTACAACATTAGGATGGATATTTAAGTGTATTCTTTTAAACTTATCTGAACAACATTGTTATTGACATGGATGATCTCAGATGTTGTAGAAGTTCTCTCATTATCATATTGAATAATTACCTTGTTCGTTTTGTATTGGTTAGTTAAAAAGTAGCTACACTTTATTTGTTCAAGTAATTAATAGTCTGTGAAACACTGATCTGGTATATTTACCAAAATTCGTGTTATGAAACTGAATACTAGTCAGCAGGTCAAATACTTAAGAAAATTATGGTTGATATGACCATTGATATTAAAGAGAAATAGTGACATCATTTCAGCTAAAACAACACACTGTCAATACTAAAAATTTTCCCTATAAAAATGAGAATATAATCACCAGGATAATGAGTCTAACAACTTCATTTCGTTGTATTTGGTCGATTATTTAAAAATACAGAATTTTTTAAAAATACCAACCTACTTCAAGTCTTTAAATGTTATACAATCTGTGATTTTGATTTATGGCTGTACGATGTGAGATAAACCTTAATAGAGTTTTATTTCATCCACCTGTCCTTCTTTTAAACAGATCTTCTTTTTTCAAGAGAGTGGTCGATTATTCTTATATTTCTTCTAATGATTTAAAGCTTTAGAAATGTATTCCAATATCGTATCAGAATTTATCGGAATTTAATGAAAAACACTGAACGACATTCAGTGTATTTGTTGAGTGTGCTAAAGATAGAGGTGATGATTATAACATACTTAAATGTTGTTGATCATGACAAATGATCTTGATTAAATTTAGATAGTGTTTAATTCACGTAATTCATCTCACTTATTTACAGTGTTAGCTGAATCATTATATCTTAAACAGGATAACTGAATAAGATCAAATTTTCACAGACATCTGACTATCACGTTTTTACTATTTTGCAGCATAACGTTCTATCAGTACTCCAGTTGATATTCTCTGGAGTAATTGTCATCAAAACCTGACACATTTTCTATTTTGTTTGTAATTTTGAAGTGTTCATCAGGACCTGGCAAGTTTTATTGACTTCGTCTAGTTCTACTGAATTTATCACCACCTTTAGATTACAGATTTTTGTACGAAAACTAACTAATATTAATTATTATCCGAAAGAGTGAACTAAATATATGTATAATCTGTACTGAAGATTGAATCATAAGTGTTATTGATTATCAAAGGAAATTTATTTTATTAGCGAAATCTGAACGGAGAAAACAAACAGTCTTGATCACTGATTTTCGTGAACAGACTTTTTACTGGCAGTTAAAACCTGGATTATTCTGATAACGAATAAGTGGTAAATTTAGGTGGGATACTGATTGTCAGCAATGGCCAATTTATAAGAGAGAGGTCTTGATATAATTAAGTAGATAAAATCAAGTCAAGGTGATCGTTAAATAAGTTTATTACATGCCTTGTCTCCGAACGAAAAACATCCTTTTGATCCTCAAAAGACAATAATATGCATTCATCTAGTTGTTGAAATGTCTTGTGGCATAAAGCTTCATATATTTTATATTGGTGATGTACAAATTAATTTTTCGTTATGAGGCACGTCATAGTATGCAACAATTTCTTCTCATAAGACTGCAAATTGTCCAAGTATCATACTTATCACTCACCACGTAATCGCCAATGGGTCTGCTTATAAAGTAGTCCACAGAATATTCATAAACCCCACCGACTTCCACTTGCCCTGGGCACTTGGTAAAATTCACTGAATCATATTGAATCGGACAGTTCGAGGACACTATCATGGGAATATCTACGGTAATCTTTGGAGTCAACAATGTCTCCATTTTGACCGTTAAATTGGTACCTATTGATGGAATCGACATTCCAGGAAATAGACCGATTTGGAATCGCATCTTAATACTGAAGTCGTTTGAATCATTGGCAGGAGCGGATGAAACACTTATCTGACTTGTCATTGTGAACTCCGAAGGCTACGGGAAACAATTAACAAAGATGGATTGAGAGCTGGAATTCTCAGGAAATTCTTCATTTTCATATCTATAATTTGTCACCAGTGATATGAGTTAATATCAAATTACGAAGGTATACTACTGCAATTTCAAATCAATTTAGACCCATTCACAGAACGGATTTTAAACGATATTGAGTCATTTGATGTGACATCTTTTATCATATATTTCCTCAAGTTTGTAGATTGACTACAATTATTTGGTGTATCAACTAATCTATAACCAAAATCTAATTTATCGAATAAAACAAAGCAAATATAGAAAATCAGAAATTCTATCTATTACTGCTCCTTAAAATATGAACCTCACAAAGATGTTTCTACATCTTATCTGATCCTTTCTGTTTTAGATCTTGTATTTTCCCCTGCTTCGTCCCCTATTACAGTGTTTTCTTTTTTCTAATCTTGTCAATTATTCCGTTCTATTTACATTTACTTACCGAATTCATACTCAGAATGGAACTTTGTATTGAGGTTTTCGATAGGTTGTTAAGATATGGAGATTATTGGATGAGACTTAAATCAGGAAGGTTGTTTAAGCGAAGATGAATTAAATTTTATACAAATTAAATATCTATTGTTATGAATCTTCATAATCGCACTGTGAGTATTTACAAGTTCGTTTTAACTATTTAAAAACTCTCTTCTTTCGAGTACATAATCAGCATCAGCAGGTATTTTGAATATTTTTATATGCAACAGAACTTTGAGATTTACTCTCAACCTCCAGTGAAATATGGAATAAGTCCTTGCACATATCGGTGTACTTTCCATAGTAACTTTTAATTAATACAATATTTTTAATTACAATATAATTATATTCATGTTCACAATGCAACTGTTGACTCGCTCATCTTCTTATATAAAGCGACTTCATGTAATTTAAACAAAATCCAATGAATTCACAATTTTCACCATTAAGAATAAACAAGCATATTCAATATTGAATGCGGACGTCAACAGGGAAGTATAAAAGAACACATTTGACAAAATATATTGTCAACATGGTATGACCTCATCAAAACTGAAAATAAAATTTCGTAAAATGCTTTATCTGTCCTTAGTTAAGCTAAATAGGACAGCGTTAGAAATCCCACACTGCTGTGTAGAAATCTACTTCCCTCATCATGTATATATTTGCAATACTTAGCTAAAAGTTTTGAATAAATTAAAGCTTATTTATGTTCATATCCTTACCGAGGAATTATTGTCCAAGTATGTGAGATTACTAAACTTCACAGGATAATTATTTGCTATATTTGTACCGTTGTAGTAAGCAAACAAATATTGTATATATCCGTAATAGATATTATTTATAGACGGACCAGAAAATTTCATGATCAAACTATTATTTCCAGGTGGGAGGACAATTATGGAATCAATAAACCATGTATCGAACAGACAATAATTTGGATTATCTTGGATGTATACTCTGGAAAATGTGACACGGATAGTATCCGGTGGAACTATGACTCCCTGTAAAGAAGAAAAAATGACATTATTCATCTGAAAACCTGAAATCATAAATGATTTGGATAGTACACATCATGGTTCCATATCTTACTGTGCACATTTGCTGAATCAGATAACTACGTCTTGATGAAAACACTATCTTATTTCACTAACATCGGAATCATTAAATCGAAGTCATTAATGAATGACGGTTGCTATCTTAAACACCACATTGTTTTGTAGGATAAGTGAATGTGAAATGCATAAGAATTGTGAGATGAATGACAGAAATTGCAGTTTAATTTTGGAAAAATACCACAATAAACAGAGATCATACCCTCTTGACTGCAGTCATCTCACTTCCTGTTTCTTCTCCAGAATAATTTTCATCAATTAAAATGTTGACCGTTGCATCATCAGATATATTTAGTGAAGTATTTGCATTCCTAACTGTCACTTGAAAAGTGATGGTATGATTATTCTTGATTGTTTCATAATCACTTGCAATAACTTTCAAAATACCAGTTGATCCATCGATAGCTACTGGTAAGTAGTTTGAACGAGGTACAATGTTAAATTGAACACTTCCACATGATGCTAAGGAGGAGTTTTCATCACTCAGAGAAAGACTACCAATCAGACTTCCATTGATCCAGTTAGAAAACTTGGTTTCGAAGGTGAATACTGTCTGAGTGAATTTTGGAATTCTATATACTAAAATGGTAAGCATATGATCTCTACAAAGTTAATATTTCACAATATGTATATGTAAATGAGAAATAAATTATTAGGCGTGGAGTGGACTATATTTCCTCAACTGTAACTAATTCACATTACAAGCGATTGAGCTATTTTACAAATTGATGAATCAATTCTTGAAGAAATTTTGCATTTATTTAACCAAATCAAAGCATTGATGATTTTCAAAGATTTCTTATAACATGATGCGAAGTAAATTTGACTACAAGCTTACCAAGAAATGTGAAATATTATCCATTCAGTGTAATGTTTATTTCCTGTACAAGTAATGTAGTGAATAAAGAACTCAGATGTGAAAGACCCATTTACAGAGATTTTCCATAAAATGTGAAAACCATATATTGAATACTTCATTTGCAAATCCTACATCACTTATCCTTTACATCATTCATGATTCTTCCATTTCTCAATCCCTTAATGCTTTCCTTTAAGCTTTCTTCAGTTCTATCTTCTCAAGCTTCTTTCGACAGACGTTCAACTTCTGATTGGTGTACATATTACTTACGTCGATAGATATAAGTAGAATAAACCAAAATACATTTTATGAGTTTGAGATAGGAGTCTTTAGCATCATCTTGATAAGGAAATGGTAGAATGTAACCAAATATTCATACAACCAAACAAAATTAGTCTTGTTATTAGTAATATTGACTAGTTAAACTATAAGTGACTGATTTACCTCGTTCTTCACAGGTCTTCCCGATCCAACATGTATTACATACACACGTTCCATTAATGCAGTGACCATTAACACAGCTCCTAGACAAAAAGATTTTGTATTTCGGTCTTATGTACACAAATAATTTATAATTTGTAGACAAGTGAAACTTGTTATGTATGTTTTACTGTGTGAAACCAACTTACAAAGGACAATTATTATGCTATTAAAAATCAGTTATTTTAGTGTGAAGATGAGATACCAAGGTGTATATTTAGTAAAAGAAACAACCTTTATCGGTACATTAGCTAAATATATCGAAATGTGCATTATTTGGATATCTGTCCAACGTTGTTTGTGACCTGGGCATCCTAAAAAACCTAATCTGGCGAATATCGCTGCACAGTTCAATTTAATAAAATATTTAATACTTCTACAAGTATATCCATCCTGCAAAGTTGGTAAATCGAAACCAAGAGTAGAGATGCGGTATTTGAATGAACTAATGATTCCTTTGTACTTGTTGAATGCTTGATTTCGAATTTCAAATACAGTACATTCGTTAGTGCTTGTGTAGTACTTCTTGATTCAAATACGTTATTTCTGGGATTCTTATTTAGTACTATATTTCAAATACTCCTAATTATCATAAGAGAGCTTGGAATATGAAATCGCCGACTGTATTTACTACAACACAATCAATAACGGATCATTAAGGTCTAAGGTTTTTTATTCAGTCCAACCATGAACAAAACCGAAAATGATGCCAATAAATGGCCTGAAATTCTTGAGAAGTGTGCTCAGCTTACTTTTAACTACCATTCTTATACGCTATTGATGTGATATTCCAAACAAACAGAAGTGTCAGTAAATATGCTTGTATCAAGATAACGTATTAGTATAAATGGCTAACTAAAGATCAACTAGGTTTCACCCTTAATTTAGACAGTCCAAATATTTCCAATTGCTTTTTGGATATTCCTGGACAGTCTTCGCACTTGCCAAAAATATTGAAAGTATTAAACTCAACAGTCAGTGAAACTATTACTGGAAATAAAGCTGGCATGTTCCACTTGAAAATCAGGCAATCGAAATTATGCACACATTATTTTAAGGAACGTTATCTTCAGCACTTCCTTTCAGTGAACGTTATATTAAAAGTTATATCGTTCAACCGAAAGGTTCTCAGGCCAATATTCTTAATTGGTTTAGAACCGTCATTTAAGCGAATTAAGTCAAGAGGTGTTTAGTAGTTCTGATTACCTTCATCTTTTCTATGGGCTTTCTATGTGTTAGCTTCTAGAGTTTATCCTTTCTTCATTTGATTTGTTATCAATTGGTTGACTGTTTTTAAGCTCAACTACTGATTTAAATAGACTGATAATATGTTTATGGTAAGTTCGCTCAGTAATAATTTGCAATTTAGTTCACGTATATCGAATGGTAGAACAAAAGTATTTGAGATGTAGTATTGATACAGAAAATTGAAGATATTGCTCTACTACTTGATTGTAGCATAGTTTAATTTGACTGTGAATATGGTTGATCGTTTCCTCTATTGTTTGATTCACATTAGTTCAATTGGATTAGTGATTGCGAACTCTAGACATAAATAGTTATTGACCGGTGTCTATACAGTATACCACAAGTGAAACAAATGTCTTCCCACTGCTCAATACAAACAATTATACCACATTTTATGTTACTTATGTATCTATCTATATGACAAAGAAAGTTGTTAGGTGGTTGAAGATAGTCGGTGGGAAACACTGGTTGTGTGTTATTCGGGGCTTGCTAGCAGCTAAGTAAACCATAGATTTAGGTCAACACTAAGAACTAAACATACATGATATTAACGTTTATTCGATAACCAATCACTCCTGTTTATTAATAAACCTCTAATCAACCAAAGACATTTAAAGAGAAAAATGAAAATTTACTACTATCACAACTATGATCACAAACCATCAATAATCTTCCAACAGACTTACGATGAATTATTTTCACACATTTTAGTGGATTGTTCAAATGATCCATGAGCTACTAAATGGAATATATTAGTTTATACTTAAACAATCATTCATCAACTTACAAACAGTATGAATCAGTATAATGATCAAATCTGTTGAAATTCTTTGATAGAGGATCATTATGTATGAATGTGAAAATGTAAGTAAAACGAAGGTGATGATGATGGTGGTGAAACTATTGGGTTGAACTTTGTTTAAAATATTTTTGGATGATTTTACTAATTTAAGTCGGTAGCTAAATTAATTTCAAGTAAAACTGAATTTATTGAAATAGTTGTAAAATATGTAATCGTTTCAGCCAATCAGAATACAGTCACGGCATTCTAGGTAGTTACATCTATTTATTCTAATCCTTAATAACAAACGAAACCTGTTGACAATCCACATATTTCTCATATGAATGGATTTTTCAACAACAGAACACTTGAACACTCCAATAGCAACAATTATTACTACATACTCTCATACTGACCAAAAATATAATGATGTTAACAAGTTTTTAGTATTTTGGGCGATAGTGAACTAAAAGTATGATGTGAACGTGAGAGTGGACTGTGATACACTTTACTACTTGCAAAGTTGTCCTTAAGGTAAATGAAAAAAACTAACACTTTGGTAACCAGGTGATTGGAAATAACAATGTTTTACGTTGACTTTGTAAGTGAACAATACAAAATGGTGTTCTATAAGAGGTCGTTGATATCTTGTTCTATCTAATCCAACAATTTCTCTTTACTGAAACAATTGATATCTATCATGTTGTAGTAAAGCATTGTTATTATTTAGCCTGCAGATAATTTAAGGACAACAAATTGAATGAGTAGAGTATATAAGTCACCGGTATTTAAGCTTTCACTATTGTCTATCTGGTATGCTTCAGTGAATAAAGGTTCTTTCACTATTATTTTGATTATGTTTATTATATTACGGAGACATAGTAATTAAAGTGAATTTACTCCCAGAGTCACACCGTGGAATTGTTTGTAATAAATAACAACAAAACGTAACAAGAATTTAGATGATGTACCATCATGTTAAAAGCAACCTTTATAATAGTGTGGTTAAAACTGCTGTTTGCTTTTCATAATTCAACTGAAAAATGTCTTCATTTATTGAATTAATTACAGTCAATTAGTTCCCACTGTTTTATTCCGAGTTTGAATTTCTCAGATGCACAAATGTAGTCCAAATAAGTGAATTTTATTCCAGTTAAAGGTGTTGATTCAACATGTCTCATTGAAAACATCAAGTAATGAAACAACGGTTTGCATTCTTGCTCAGTTTGAGTTACTGAATATATCAAACTTTTATTTTTGTATCAGTCCGCCAATCTCGTCTCATCATCCATTCAATCTTCTCCAGATAAAATTCATCTTATAGCTAAATAGAAATATGTAGAATGTACCTTAAGTCCCAGTTCTCGATTACTGTTGCTTAAAAATTAAATATCAGTTGATTGTTTTTACTCAAGTTAACGTAACACTAATTTCAAAATCGACACTCACTCCTAATACCATAGCACCATAGATGACCACAATTCTGTGAAATAGGAGTGGGAAACTTAAAAATGACTATAAAGATCAAGCTATGTTTAGCACTGTATTTGTGAAGATATTTAGACAAATTTATGTGGATTCCCCTAATAAGAAAAGCTCACTAAGTAGGTGACGAAAAAAATTCTCGACTAACATAGTTTTCTGAACTGCTGCTTGTCCTATAAAGACGTGATTTGTCAGAACAAACAAACAGCAAAACATTACTTACAAAATTACTTGAAAATAAGAAAAACCCACCCTGACCTTCGAAAGCATGTGATCTGTTTCCCTACATGTTCACCATTGCTGACAAATCACTGTCAGCGATCTGAAACACATCTAATTAGATTTGTTTTATAAATTTCACTCCTCTGTGTATGATTTTCTACGGTTAAATCTCATTTTTGATATAGCAGTTCAAGAGTTCACATTATCTAGGGATTTTAGGTTGTACATCTTAATCTCAGTCTAGATATTTTGTTTACTTCTCTTTACCATTTTATATCCACATAGTCAGGCCTACTTATCTAGGCAGTAGAACGCAAATTTCATAAACTAAAAAAAATTGCATTTTATGGAATCCAACACCTAAATAGTACTGGTTAATCCTAACGTTTCAAATCACAGTAATCCAACAGTTAATCAAAATATAATTTACAATTCCCACTAAGTAACATTGGCTCTCCGCAGTCACATGTTTTGGAATACGAATATATTATTAGAAACAGAAAAACTTCATTGTCAAACACTGTTCATTTAGAAGTCATACTCGTAGATAAATCACCTGAACACATACGAAAATGGAAAATTAGGGAGAGGTTTATTTTATTAATGAAGACATGTATTAACACAATCCATTGTGTTAACTTTCACTTCAGTTCTGATAGCAATATAATAATGAAATGTCTAAATATATAGAATTACTTATGTCATAAAAACTTTCAATTTATTTGAAATCTGACATGACTTTGAAATGTTCTGTTGGTCATAACATTTCATAACACATTTTTATGATTGGTTGTTAATAAACGAACTTCCATATGAATTATGAAGATTGGATAATACTTTGTGATCAGACGCAAATTACTGGATAAAATATTTTAAAATGTATATTTTCATATATGTAACTTACGCCTGTTATACCGATGGGTCATACGGCTCCGAAATACATTCACCAATGCACTCCACCCTAGGTCTTCCTTTCTAGTTTTATCCAAATGTTGTTCATTCTTCTCATGTCTGTCTTCATTTCTCGGCGTAATTTGTTCATTGGTCTTTGGATAGGTAGGTTATCATAGAAATTTCAGTCATGTTATTAGTCGAATGCTATTATTTACAGTTGAAAGACCAAGTTTATTCAGAGATTCGTTTTAATAGTATTCATGTTGAAAGAAATACTTACTTACTTACGCCTGTTACTCCTAATGGAGCATAGGCCGCCGACCAGCATTCTCCAACTCACTCTGTCCTGAGTCTTCTTTTCTAGTCCCATCCAATTCTTGTTCGTTTGTCTCATGTCTGTCTCCATTTGTCGGCGTAATTTGTTCTTTGGTCATCCTCTTCTCCTTTGCCCTTGAGGATTCTAAGTGAGGGCTTGCCTTGTGACGCTGTTGCGTGCTTTCATCAACGTCTATCCCATCCAGTTCCGTCCACTTCTTCCTGATTTCTTCCTTCACAGGAATCTCGTTTGTTCTCTCTCACAGTAAGTTGATGCTGATAGTGTCTGGCCAACCGATCCGAAGTATTTCGCGCAGACAGTTGTTAATAAACACTTGTATCTTCTGGATGATGGCTTTCGTAGTTCTCTTTAGGTTTCCACCCCATACAGTACAACTGTCTTGACATTTGTATTGGAAATTCTGACCTTGGTGTTGGCTGGCAGTTGTTTTGAGTTCTAGATGTTCTAGGTATGCTGCTCTTGCATTCCCGATCCTCACCTTCACATCTGCATCAGATCCACCGTGTTCATCAATGATGCCCAAATATGTAAAGGTTTTTACATCTTCCAAAGCTTCTCTGTCTATTGTGATTGGATTGGTGCATGCTGTGTTGTATAGGAGAATCTTGCTTTTCCCTTTGTGTATATTGAGACCTACTGCTACTGAGGCTGCTGCTTCACTGGTCGTCTTCTCCTGCATTTGTTGTGGTGTTTGCGATAGAAGAGCCAGATCATCTGCGAAGTCTAGATCATCCAATTGCATTCTAGATATCCACTGTATCCCGTGCTACCCTTCAGATGTTGATGTCTTCGTGATCCAGTCGATCACTAGGAGAAAGATAAAGGGCGAGGGTAAGCAACGGTACCTGACACCGGTGTTCACTTATAATGAGTCGAAGTATATAAAGGTCTTGACAACATCCGCATAGTGCACTTCCTAGGCTACTACCAATCACAAGCCCGGATAAAGGAGGAAGAGCTTCTAACTCCCAGGACAGAGTTTAAATGGTTTGTATTCTTTTTATCTGGTTAGCGTTGTTTAAGCGAGTTGGCTTTTTACGGGATGGTGTTGCTAACCCCATGCCCAACCTTCCCCCTTTATCCATGCTTGTGACTGATAGTAGCCCCACAGGGGTGCCATACGGAGATTTTATTCGTGTTAGTCACTGTTAACTGTTAAGCGGTAATATGTTCTCTTTCTGATATACACTCCATTTTTATTTTGTCGAGTTCAGAATTCGAAAACCTAACGCGCGAGTGCTCCAATTGTTTACAACTCTAGTTCAATAATGTGATGTATTTCTAAATGGATGGAGTCTCTGTGGTTCCCCCATTGGCATCAATTTTATCTGATTTACTTAAAGAAATTTCTGAACGAACGAAGTAGAAATACACAATGCATAACACAACATTTTAGTGTAGTTAATTTGATGATAAATTTATTCATCACAAAAGTACAGACTGAGTGAGATTATTCAAAACTAAAATAACTTCTAAATAATTTACTTGGATCAAGTTACAAAGAACTTGAGATCAAAAGGTGCTCTAGAATTAAACAGTTGCATAGTGCGACAATTAATCCATAGTAGACATATCATCAACGTTCGTCAATTTTTAGAAAGAAAACAGACAAAAATTCAACTTCTAATCTATTTATGCAGATTTGTATATTAGTTGATAGTGATATTAATTAAATGAGGAGGTAAATTATTCTTATCATCATTATTTATCCTAAAATATGTTGAAAGTTAGCGGAATTTTGTTTAATGTCTCATTTATAACTGTCTGGATCATATCGTTTCTCATTAACTTGTCTTTTGATGTTCTCTGAGTGTACAATAGACTTCCTATCGAAGGTAGACTGTGGATAATTTGGAACAGATGTGTTAGTCTTAGAACTAACAATCGGAACTGGATAAGGCTCACCAAGTCCTCTAAACGCATTTTGTTCGTCATGCTTGTAAAGCACAGATCTGACAATATTTTTGAGAAAATGTTGTGTGAACTGTTCAACTTAATTTTCATGGTAATGTGCAACAGCAGTAGATCACAAATACTCTATAAACGAACACAAAATAATCTTTTGTTCACTTTTGCTATTGTTTTCTTATACAAGAAAATATGGCTTCCCTGCTCTGGAGGAGTTA